TTTAGCCTTAATGAATAAGTTTCCAAAAACTTAGTACTTGTTGTCATAATTTGTCTTATTTTTTATCATTCAAAGCTTCATTTTGACTATCTTTCACAAAGTGAATTGTTGTATGCAAAAAATTGAATAACAAATTATAATAATAGATATATTTTTGGCATTATCTTTTAATCTATATAGAAATTAATTATTAAAAGCTTTATTATTCAATCCATGTTACAAATAAGGTTTTGGAATTCAACACTATATATTGTAGCTTATTATGATCTTTATTATAAAAATTGGAATATTATATTTGCTATTTTTTTACATTAATTTCTCCAAATATAGCTATAAATACTTTTAGGAGTGAATTTAGGTCATATAAGAGTTGTAAATTATTTTCCATAAAAAATATTAATTAAAAGAGAGCACTTCTATATAAAAGTATACCTATGAATTCAAGTTGAGTAAATCCATTAACAAATCGAGAAGAATGAAACCTTGAATAGAGCTTAACATGTTGTAAAAATTCTTAAATTTTTAAACTTCTTCTATCAAACATCTCTAACATAGTAATCTAGATCTCTCTCATACTTATAGTAATAAAAATTCTCTAATTCAATTGTGAAGTTGATTTCTAGAGACTTTTGATTTTATTAATGACTTCTTTTATATGCATGGTAATAGTATGTGAGTAGTTGTCATTAGAAATATGTGAAATTTCTATCCTAATATTGTTAACAACTTAATAAAGATGTGTAACAGTTGTAAATCAATAGTCATTTACTTCCAAGTTTAGTGTCTATAATTTTTCCTTCCATTTCTATAACATGCAACTTTAACAAATTCATAAGTCAAAATAGAAAAAAATAACTTACAATCTCTAATATCAAATAAAACTATCTATATAGAAGAATATTCTATTCTTTTTAAGAAAAAAAATCAATATTAAAAAAAAAAAAAAAAAAAAAAAAAAAAAAATTGGTTTGAAAGTTGATAGTTTGCAATCCTTAAATACAACAAAAAAAATAAGGTAATCAACTCACTTCTAAAAAAGCAAAAATAGTGAATTAAAGAACTTGTCAAAATTATCAAAGATATGAATTACAAGTAATCATAACATAAATACAATCTTATCTCACTAAAAAAGATTAAATATTTATTCAAAGATAGTATAATATTAATATTAGAATGACTATTGCCAAAGACTAAAGACTCTTGAAATAAGACTATGAAAAAATAAGGTGTTAATAAGAATGAGAAGGCCTCACTCTTGTTTTTATATATACTATGTAATTAAGACTTATCTGGTAATATTCTATAAGACCTTCAACACATGTCCAACTTGAAAGAATTATATCTAACTTTGTAAGACAAATTTCCTACATGTACCTCACATTGCCAATTTATAGGATAAGTTACCAATATGTACAACATGTAGCAAAGTTTTTGCCTAAACTTTCAACCTAGCAATCACTTTCAAATACATAAAAAGCCAAATTCATGTCAATAAAGCTTATAAGAATCTACTCCATAAGATGTTATCAAATTTACTTATTTTTATTTATTTTTATATAACTACTTTAATTTAAGTAAATATGTATATTTATAACATAGTAATATTATTAGAAATAATATGAAAGAGAGATTTTAGATTCTCTTGAAGGATGATAACAACCACCTACTTGTCAAATTTCTAAAAAAATAAATTATTACCTTATTATTATTTCTTACACTATCTCTAGTCTTCAATTTCTAAAACTCAAATCTATAATTAGATCTTATTTATTTATTCAAATATAAAATAGATTTGTATATAAAATCATCTAATTTATAAGATCTTCATACTAGATTGATTCAATAAAATACAATACAATACAAGATCTAATGTATAAGATATGGTTTTGTCCATTTGATTTCAAGGATCTTAATATTGGTCATATAATATTGTAAAACTATAAAAATTGGTCCTAAATTGGCCTCCTAAGTCTTTGTTATGGTCTTTCAAGTCCTCTCTTTAACCTCCTATATCTTCCTATTACTCAATAATAATAATAACAAGAACACCAATACTTTTATGAGAAAGAAGAAAGAAGGTTGAATGTCCTTACTACTCCTCAAATCCTAGTCACTAATATCATTTCAATCTTTTTCCTAATTAGATTTTGCATCTATTTTGGTCAAAAAATCATCTTATCATAATAGTCATTCAATTAGGCAAACATTGTTACTGCAAACAGTGCAATAATTACCTAAAATTTATTCCATACTAATAGTTTTATTACCCTAAATTATTAGTCTATTAAATATGCAATTGACAAGTGGATGTTGCACTTAAGAGAATGCCAAATATATTATTTGAAGGTAGTAAAGAATGTCTTATTGATGATCTAATAACTATATGATCCTCTTGTTTTTGTGTGGGAAAGTAACAATGGTTAAAAAGACCTAACAATCACCTTAGAGTGAAACAAAGATTAATGCTTGTTGCTAACGTGATTTGATAAATCTTAGATTTCATCAACTTATGGAGCAATAACAAAACCTATTACAAAAACTGTTGCCTACAAAAGAGTTAAGATAATAGATAGACATATTTATTAGTATATTTACTTAGATAAGTATAAATAGATATATAAACCCCTAAACCTGGTCAGTTTATATATATATATATATATATATTCAAAGGTGAAATAGAGCAATCTTATAAAAATGACAAGAAGGGCTAATTCTTTAGTCATGGTCAGCAGAAAGGAAAGTACCCTGACGATGGTCCAGAGCAAGAGAATACCGACTCAGGAGAACGAATGAACGGACGAACGAGACGACGTCGTTGGACAGCGACGGATTCGACCGACGACGAATGACGAATGTGAGATGATTGCCGACCGCGGGCGCTCGTTGATTCTCCGCCCATGGTTTCCGTCAGACGGGGGAATGCCAGAACTGCAGGAGAATAAATCGCGGAAGACGTTCCAGAAGCGCCGGATTCGAGGTCGCCAGGTTCCGTCGCGGAAAACTGATCTGAACACTTGCAAACCGCGTGCGGCGAAGAACATTCATTTCGTCGGAGGATGAGCGTCAGCATATTAGCGAGGGTGGGCCCGTGTGTATTTAGTCGATGCCGGCAACGTTGCAGTAAGATTGTTTTTTCAGTTTGTGGTGCGGTACTTTCTCTCCGACGAGGACGCAGCGCTGAGGCCAATTTCTACAGACGAGGTTCCATTCTTGTCCCCCTTTGCCCTTCTGCACCAATGTCGCGGGAGATTATAACGGCAACTGTAGGGATACTGCGATGAACACATGCCCAATATGCTCCCAAAAAACAGCATTACGCTGATTCTTAATCAAGAAAATACGAGGAGGTACCGATTTCGCAGAACAGATACTCAGCACGCACTCCGACCTTTTTACCTCACATAGCCCTACCATATTGACTTTTTACTTCACCCGCTAGTCATGCACGCACACAGACAGACAAAATGTTTTGTTGCATCGCATTTGGTGAGCATCTCACAGAAGGGCAACCACGGAAAACCAATTTAAGGGAATCCTTAAATATTGGTGGGAGCGGTGCAAGGTTAAACATTCTGGGTGTTAAAAACGAGGCAAAGATTATTAATGAGCAACTAGACATGGTTAAGGGTTTTGCATTGTTAAAAATTCTCTAGAGCAAGTAGTCATTTCTGTTCAATCATAACCAAGTACCATCTGGGTTCCTATTCCAGGGCCAGGTGGGGAGCCCACTCCAGATTGACTTTGATTTAATTACTTATTCATTTATTTGAAATAACTTGCGTATCCTCGACGGACAAGGTAAAAAGTGAAAATGACATGGGCATCAATGCATCATGAGTGCCTTGTTTCATGGGTCCAACCCAGGGTTTCCTACATGTACCTGACTGAGAAAATATAATTCCATGTTATGTCACACTCTGATTTCACAATTTATAGTTTATTTCCACTTATCCAACTTTCGCTGAATTTACTTATATAAGATATCTGCTATTTCTTTTTTTCATTTTAATCTTCTTATTTGAATAATTCTGCTGATGATAGTAAATGTCTTCCTCAATAGACTCTTTCACAGTGCAGTAACTTGATACACATTTGTTTATCAATTTTGATTTTGTCGATCCACATAGATAATCATGTCATTTCCTCCAGATATCAAAGTGGGGTTTCTATTAATACCATAGTTGACAGTGATCAGTGGATACAGATAGAACAAACTCATTATGGCAATAATTTGCCACCTTTTACTGCTTCCATTTCATTCTACTGAGGAACAGTGACAACCTTGCTGGCAGTCATTGCAATCAAATTCCAATCTATCCACTGAACCCAAGAACATAAGAATACTTATCCACTTGGAATGGGATGCTTGCCATTCCATTACCCTGCATTGCATTGTACATGCAAACTTCATGCATGCTGAATCCAGCATCACTCTTGAGTTGGTTCAAAGTGATCAAAACCATATATTTTTATCAAAATAAAAGATCACTTTCCTTCAGCTGCAATGTACACCTATTGAGTAACATCACCAACCATAGTCATCCCATCATGTAGGCCTCCTAACTGCTGTGCTTTTGCCCAGCAGGAAGAAAGGAGCAGAAGATTTCAGCAGCACAGAAAAATCTAGTGGGGGTATTGTGGGTGGAGATTAAAAAATGATAAGATATGACAACTCGGTGCAGATGTTCAGGAGCGTCCAGGATGGACAACTTATCGGGGCTAGCCGGAATGTAGCAACTTGCAACCAGCTCTGCGCGCTGACTAGCATCCACTCAAGACGGCGACACGTTTCGCAAATTTTCAATGTGGTTGACTACTGACTGCACGACAGGATCCGAACGTGGGAGGGCGAAGGAAGTTGTGGAGGTTGTTTATTTGTTTGTCTGTGGTTGTGTGTGCTTTCTTTTCCTCTCTCGAAGTTAGCAGCGAGGGGTTTTGGTGACAACGCCAAGCAGTATGTGAGGTGCGATAGCTGTTAGTTGGAGTGAGTCGCTGGTGGAGACTCTGGTTGCTAGAATGCTCCAGGTGAGTGTGGTTTCTCTCCTAACCAGTTCAGGTTGATCTGATGGATTCCATTGGGTTTCTGGGAATGGTTTCTCGTTGGAGAGAGTGAGATGGTTCGAAGTGGATTTCTGGGCAACTAGTTGGTAGAGCTTTGTAGAGCACTCCAGTGCAAGTTTCTAGAGAAGGATCACCGACACATGCCCTAGTCTGTTTCTAGTGAGCTGTGAAATCAATGCTAACATTGAGAGCAGTCTGTAAGGTGTGCAAAACTTGTTTGTGGCTTCGGCTGTCAGTTTGTTGAAGTTGTTGAAGCGAAGTTTTGTTGTTCGAAGGTGAGAAGATTTCTCTTCGATGGCTCTGCTGAAATAAACAAACGGTGTTTATTTCGGATCGTATGTCAAGAGTCCCTGCAGGAGGTCAATCGTTGGTAGTCATATGTGCTGTGCGATGCCTGCGGCTTACAAGTTGAGTCTGATTCAAACGCCTGCATCAGGAAAAAGTTGTCGAACCTGGTACATTCCTCATGAGGACTGACGAGAGATATAGTTTGGAAGTTGTAGGTGTCGTTTAGAGAATATTTTTGCGAGTCGAGTCGGTACTGCTACTTGTGACGGCAATCAAGACTTTAAAGTACAAGAAATAGACGTAGTCCGGGGGTTGCAGTGTGGGCTCCAAGTATGTAGCTTCAGTATGTAATCCGGGGAAGGTGGTAAACATGATGTGCGATATTGTCTGGATGTCAGGAATCTGACAGTGTTGAAGCCCATGGTGGAATTTTGGCCCTTGGGGTTCTTGAACATTACATCATGAAGTCATTCCATTGTTGAATGTGAAAACGGAGTAGTGCACAGTTATGTAGTTTTCGGATGGGGTTTCATTTGCCACATCACTGGAAAGTTCCGTGTCAAGAGCATCGGATGCTGTACGAACTGACTGTCCGAATATGCCGTAAGGTTCACAGAAATGTCGGAAAACGAAATGTCTGAATACTTTGAACTATGTATGGTCGTTTTTTCTTACCGCGATGTGTAGTGGTGATGTAAGCTTTTTGAGATTCCGAATTTCGGTGTGGCCAAATTTCGGAGGACCTCGTAACTTTCTTTTTATGAGTGGGAAACAATTGAATTTCTAGTTGATTTGTAAATCTTGCTAGAAAGCACGTCAACCCATGTCTCTAAGTCGTAGCTCTGAACTTATTCTTCATTTCTACATAATGTCGACTTCAGTATTTACGAAGGTGCACAGTTGATAATTTCGCGACGAAAACTCGTTGTGTAATTGCAGTAACTCATGTGAGCAAGAAGTTGGAAGATTGGACGGAGAGAAGATCAATTCAAGAGCTTAGAATAACTTGTACAAGCTCTTCTGGTGTTGCAGCGCTAATAAGGTACCATATCGTTGCCAGTTTGAATTTTGATTTGATGTCTTAAGCAGGGAGAAGTCCTATGGTGGAAAGTGTTTCGTGCACGGACACGGCTGTTGCTGTCGAACATTACATGCTCTGTCTACTTCCAATGTCGAGAAACGTATCTAAACACAACTGCATGCACCATTCCTACCCCTGGTGAAATCCTCACACTACGCATTTGCGTTGTACTGTGTGAGTGCAGGGCTAGGTTGCAGTTCATTAAGATCGGTTATCTTGGGTTCAGAGTAGTTTTGGCATTGCTGGCCCTAAATGCGCAAGGAACGTGGGGGCAAGCGCTTGAGATGATAAGCATCGACTGTGGTGCTGCCCGAAAGTACACTGACCCGGGGACAACAATTTCATGGACCCCTGACGATGAGTACATTTCCGCAGGGCAGACCGTTGCGGCTGTTCCAGTAACTGATGGATCATACAGTGAATTGGGTAGTCTACGATATTTCCCGGAGAAACGGGAAAAGTTTTGTTACGTAGTACCCATCAAGCCTAATTCTACGTACATCATCCGATCCTCCTATTGGTAAGGTAACTATGATCAGACGAACACTCCACCAAAGTTCAACATCGCTATAGACTCAACAGCCCTAACTTTCGTAGACATGAGCCAATTTGATGATCAGGCACAACAAGCTGAAGTAATTTATCGAACGAAAGTGAGTGCTACGACTATTTCATATTGTTTGTTTAAAGATCCTACATCTAAGGGCACACCCTTCATATCTTCTTTGGTATTCAGACAAGTGCCAGATCGATCATTTACCTTTCCGCGCACGCTTGAAGGGAATTTTATGATTCTTTGGCAACGACGCAATTACGGTGGTTCTGTTTGGATAAGGTAAGCTCATCACAGAAGTACAGACGAACTTACTATTTGTTACATTTTCGCATTCGATCGTGAGAGGTTGTTCCTAGAAATCCAACCCTGCTCCAGTTGTTTCATCTCATTCGTGGAAGGGTAGATTTGATTATTAGGGAATTAAACTAAGAAGTGTGGGAAATGTTTTGAAATTTATGGAGGTATCCAGATGATGTACTCGATCGTCTGTGGGCACCTTGGGTCGAACCTTCGCCATTAACAACAATATCCACACTGACCCCGGTGTTCATCCTGGTTACTTTCTAAAACCTGTATCTAAAGTGATGCAAACTGCCGTTACTTCTCCTACACTCTCTCCTGTTGTATTACCAGTTAATTCTGGCGCGAGCGACGCCCGTGCCATTGAAGCTACTCTACATCTTTACTTTGCTGAGTTGGACGCTTCAGCCAACGCAACTTCAAGGTCCTTCCTCGTTGATCTTCAGTCAGGAGCTTCCTCACTTATAAACCCTTACAACGACTCGCAGGGGGCCTTCCGCTCGTCGGTGTGGGGATATTCGCAATTTTCAATAACGTCTAATTCAGTTGTTACCATGACTCCAGCACCCGGGTCAATCAATCCTCCACTGTTGAATGCTCTCGAAATCTACCTTAATCGTCCAGACGCAGTCGCTGGAACCAATGAGCTAGACGGTCAGCACCTATATCACTCACTATGCCGTGCCTTTATTTAAGTTGGGTTTTTTCTTTTCATTTGCTGGGTGATGTTTTCCACATGACCAACTAAAATCTCAGTGAATATGTCGTCTTTTTTTTTGACCCATTGGGCCTTCGTTTGGATACTAACATTAGTTTGAATCTTCTTCCTGCTTCTGTCAATGCAGTTGCTGCACTGGAGAAAATCAAAGTGGCTCTTAATTTGACTGGCTGGGGAGGAGATCCATGCCTTCCCGTCCCACTCTCCTGGGTATTATGCAGCCCCGTTACGGCCACAGCAGCTGCCAGAGTAATTTCAGTGTATGTTCTTCGTAGGGTGCCCTTTTGGATAAATTGAGTTTCTGTGCATTGGTTTTGATCACTGAGAGTCAGGTCGCAATTTACGAAGTGGACTTAAGTTCGCGTTGTGTTCTTACAGGAGATTGTCAAGATACAACCTCACTGGCATCATACCTGTGGAATTTGCAGAGTTAGCTGCCCTTCAAACCTTGTAAGTCTCTAGAACTGCAACGAATGCTTTCGATCGGTGTTTTTGTATTTACCAATCCAAACTCTGTGAACCAAAGGTATCTCACGATGGCCATACAACTATGCAGATGGTTGGATAATAACAAGCTAGTTGGCAACACTCCCAATCTTCAGAAATTGCAACAGCTGAAGTCACTGTAAGTGAAGAGCAACCGCACAACTTTCGTCGTGAAATCGTAGGTGAACTGCTTGCCTGGTTTAGAAGTAGTGTGGTATACGGTTTGGATGTTCACTAATCGATTATGACTTAATCCTGTTATGTAGGCACCTGAACGACAATGGTTTGAGTGGCTCCATTCCTGATTCCTTAAGCTTCATTCCAACACTGGAAGAGTTATTTCTTCAGAATAACAACTTGACCGGGACAGTCCCTGACGCCTTGAAGAACAAGTCTGGGCTGAACTTGAAGTAAGAGCTCCAGCCTTGTTACAAATCAGAAGCTTTGAAAGGCACATCTTAATGCAGCTCACGGTTGAGCCTGATTTCTCTAGGTTTTGGTTGATTGTAGTGCTGAGGAACTTGACTGTGGTTGACGGTTTGTCTTCTTCAATGTATGCAGCATAAACGGAAACCCTGTATGTGGGCCTACTTGCTCGAATCCTGGTCCAGGACGTAAGTCGAATGTGGGTCTCACTGCTGGAGTTGTTGGAGGAGTGGTTGGGGTTCTCGTTGTAGGGGGTATCTTGCTCTTTCGTTTCTGCAGGAAGCGTCAAACTACCAAGGGCATGGAACAAGAGTTGCCCAAATCAAACTCTGATCCATATAAATCTGGAGGCAAGGGCAAGGGCAAGGGCAAGGGCGGTAAGTATGTTATCGAGACGAGCACACGACTGATGTTGATTCAACAATTTTTATTTTTATTTTAATTTTTTATGTACTTGCTGATGTCCAACTTGTTCCAGCCATTTCTCATGACAACAAATAGGTCATCTTAATGAATCTCGGTGGTTTGCATCTCAAATACTTCTATTAAAGCACAAGATGAGACTTTTCAGGTGTTTCGAACTTCCTCGTTCCGGATTTGAATGGAACAAACGGGCAAGGGGCGAAGCCATTTTCGCACGCAGAGATAACAGCAGCCACGTTGAATTTCAGTAAACAGATTGGAGCGGGAGGATTCGGTCCAGTGTACTACGGCAAGCTTGCCAATGGAAGAGAAGTTGCTGTCAAGGTCTCTGACATGAGTTCTCGTCAAGGGGCAGCTGAATTCAACAATGAGGTGAGGGTCGTGTTTTTTTCTTTTTGTTTGTTTTTTGTTTCTTTCGGATATGCAGTTTTCCTGTTGCCATGTTCTTGTCTTTATATGAATCCTCGACTGTTTCTTGTGTAATCTGTCAGGAATGTGTCCTTCCTAGCAGAATCCGTGCAACTTAGAAGAAACTGAAATCTTATTTCGAAGTTGAATTCATGTCCTAAATATGTGAGTTTCTCTCAGGTGCAACTCTTATCCAGGGTACACCACAGAAACCTTGTTTCACTACTTGGATATTGTCAAGAAGACGGAAAACAGATGCTGGTATATGAGTATTTGCACAAGGGCACCGTCCGTGAGCATCTCTGGGGTAAGCCTTTCATTGAGCAGCTCCAGGTGCAAGATCGCCATTTAAAATTCGATTAGTATTGTGGTTTCTTTGATAGGTTAATGTGGGGCGCTGGATATTCAAGACAGGGTCTACTGCAGACAAAGTGATCTATCGTGAAAACTTCTTGTTGCCTTCTCTGAATGCGCTGTATTATGGCGCACCTGGTCATGGCTCGATGCAGGGTCTCCGCTGGCTACGAAGGAGCCATTGGATTGGAAACAACGCCTGGACGTTTCTCTGAATGCTGCTCAAGGTACATGATCCTCTGACAGGTTCTGTAGACTTATGCAGGATTGAACACGTGAACGGGCCTACACTGTTGCTCACCCCGAGTGGTTCCTAAATTCTAAAGTCCTCTGGTGCTTGTTTATTCAGGTCTGGAATACCTACACACGGGGTGCAGCCCTATCATTATCCATCGCGACATCAAGAGTAGCAATATTCTACTCACTGATAAATACGTTGCCAAAGTGGCAGACTTCGGTCTTTCAAGGTTAGGACCGGAAGAATCATCTGGAGCCACCCACGTCTCGACTGTGGTGAAAGGGACCGCCGGCTACTTGGATCCAGAGTAAGCTCTGTGCCGCTTCTCAACACTAAGCCATTTCTTACATGTGACCAATCCTCTGCTGAATCACCAACCTTGACCGATGTTCAGTCCTCCAGTAGAATCTGAACTCTATAATGCAATCACTCACTACTCGTTATCACGATCATCAGGTTCTGGTCCACAAACCATCTGTCAGAGAGGAGTGACGTGTTCAGCTTTGGAGTTGTGCTGCTGGAGGTCCTCTGCGGTCGTCAGCCAATCAACAACGGTCTACCAGACAAGAGCCAGTCGAACATCGTCGAATGGGTGAGAAATTCGCTGCTAGCTGGCGACATCGAAAGCATCCTAGACCCCGCCGTGAGAGATTGCCACCCCAACATGGACAGTGTGTGGAAAGTGGCGGAACTGGCCATCCAGTGCGTGGAGCCCCGAGGCATCCACCGACCGTGGATGAGGGACGTGGTGAAGGAGCTTCGTGAAGCCATCGTATTGGAGGACGGCGATTCAGGAGCTTTCTCGGAGATGGACCGGTCCAACAACACTGGGACGAGCATTATTCCGGCGGCGTTTAAACGTGGAAACTCGGACGATCATTACTTCGTCATGGACTCTTCCTCGAACTTGGAACAGATCAACGTGGGTCCTCAGGTCCGGTAGCTTTTACGATAGGTAGTCCAGATGCTTCACTGTCTCTGCGTGTGAAAAAGTGTCCTCTGATGTTTTTTTGGATTCCTTCTTTAGATAGGTCCTTGCATGTGAGGGACCCAGGTTCTCTTGCTTTTGTGGCGATGATCACTATTTCGGTTAGCAATACCTCAGACTTCCTAGTCGACACCCTGGAAACTTTAAGAATCGCTTTAGACCTGAACTCGGGGACCTTATTAATTAACCCCTATAATATTTTATTTACAAAGAGAGAAGCAGCGTCTTGTTTCTTAGGATTCCAAATAACTCAAGCGTCCGATACGCCGATAACCATTTACAACCAGGGAGAATTTATGAATAGCAAGGGTTGCCCGTCGCCGTAGAGGGCGGACGATTTGTCCACCTCTAGACCCACTAGCACCTGCGACAAATAATCAACTTTAATCAAGGGATAATGGATACTTAGTCATTGATTTTAATCAATATTTTGGATAACTCAGCAATGAGTTTTTTGATTATAAATGAGGGTTCAGAGTATCTTTTTTTGAAATGTAATTACGTAGATTATTTTTTTCAACGAATGGTCAAATATGAGTCTAGTAGGGATTGGTGAGGAAACATTTTAAAATCACTATACTTTTAGAAAGAAAGGAATTTGAATTTTATTTATTTTTCTTTATGTCGTGGCAGTAGATGTTGAAAAACCACTCCTTCAAATCTTGTTTCAAAGGAGAATCTTCATTTAATTTTAGTCTCAGTAGGAAATCTAAAACATCCATAGATAATATTTCATATTTAATTTTTTTTTTATTCTCTAATATTTTTCATTGCATTTGTTTAAAATAATCACTTGTTTATTTGATTATTCATTTTTCAGCAGATTTGTTGATTTGGTTGAAAATCTCATAGTTATTCTAGAATGTATGAGAAAAAATATCATATATACCATTGAAATATGTTGAAATATCAAGAGCACCTTTGAAATTTTGATAATTGCAAATCTATCCTTCACTTTTGTGATAATTACAAACATACCTTGAACTTGACAAGGTATAAGCACGGTCCTATTTTAGGTGAATCCAAGGCCCAAACTTCATGTTTTGCAGTATTTAGCATATCACTTTTGAGTACAATTTTGGCACCCCAAAAATTAGATGCCGATGCTATTGCCATTGATACTCCAAATGTATCCTTGATCAATATTGCCCATTATATCTATCTTATTTGTATTTGTTTTGGAGGCACAGTTGTGGTTTCTTCACCTTTGGTTGCTGGAATTGCATTCATTATTGTACCAATAACACTAAAAGTATACATTTGGTAACATGCAAAAAATATTTGCTTTGTAGACTACTTCATTGAAATATTATTATTTTTTATCATCATTATTTCTTCATATTTAATAGAGTAGTTCTAGGTATTGTAGGGGATTTTAAACCTTAATTATCAAAGATGAATTCAACACCAAATTGATGGGGCAAACAAATATTGGCATAAAATAGAGATATTAGCAATAAATATAGAAACATCTAGAAATGCAAGGAATGTAGACATTCTTGAAAACAAAAACAAGTAGTCATAGGTGACTAAAATTGATGAAAAGGTGAAGGGTACTTATAATCATGAGATGGGCCATGGCATTTGCTTTTTCTAATTCAGAGTAGTTGTGTGTGTGTGTGTGAGTTTTTTTTTTTTTTTTTTTTTTTTTTTTCTTTTCTTCCTCTTCTTTAGATAATATCAAATTGAAATTACACAAAGATGTTTGGAAAAATGATTTTACCTATCATATGTAGAGTCTTTATCTAGTTCATTGGAACTACATTAGCTTTGTTTAAGAAATTGATGCTATAACTCTTTGTGTTGGCTCATATTTGATATGCTTGTTTGCTCTTTTTAAGTTATTTTATTGTATGTTTATTTTTTCATTTATTATGTTGATAAACCATTGTATTGTCAAATCATCTACTTGAAGATACTTAGTTGAGTACTTATATTTTAACTATCTAAGTAATATTGATACATATTAGAAACATATCTTTTATAGTGAAGGTATTCATTTATATAAATTTTGTTGAAGTCAAGTATTTGATTTCTTCACCAATGCATTAGTTAAGTGGTTGAATATTATTCTTTCACAAATTGAGTTAAATGCTTAAAGATTTGTGATCTATTCCTTCGAATTATAAACTTCTTCTTTTATACTCTTATCAATTTGAGACTTAAGCATGATTTATTTAAAAGAGAAGTTTGAAAAAGTTTCAAGAAATTAGATTCATGCACAAGCTATTGACTAGCACCAATACTTAAATGAGGATTATAAGTACTTTTCTAGATTATAAGAATTACATACTCCAATAGCGAGCTTATAACTAATACTTGAACAAAACTAGTAGTTTGGAAAAATATAACCAACTAATATGCATCTTATGTCATTGGATCAAATTAGAGGTAATTGGCTTTGACTATCAACCAAAGAGTTGAGGCTAAAAGTGGGAGGTGAGAGGCTTCTTTCTCCTATATATTCAACCTCTTCTTGTCTTCTATAGTTGTCAATACTTCCTCCTCCTCTTGACATCTTTGGTGTGTTCTTGTTATACAATAGCAAGTGCTTACTTGCAACTCTTCTTTTTCTTGACATCTTTGGTGCATTCTTGTAATATAGTATTAGATACTTACTTACAACTCTTCTTCTTCCTGACTTCTTTTGTACATCCTTGCTATGTAATATTAGATATTCACTTGCAATTCTTCCTTCTGTCGACTTCTTTAGTGCATCTTTGTTATAAAGTATAAGTTATTCATTTAAAATTTGGTAGTGTGATCTATTTAATTTTTGATTGCCAACTACGTGTGGTATCACTAAGATTTGATGGATTGTAGCTAAGTTCCATGTTTGTGAAGAGCTCGCCACTAACTCAATATTTTTCCACTCTTTAACAATAATAAATTATGCCACATTTTATATAGACTATCATCATGTCATTTTGTTTGTTTCCAATTATAGATTTTTTATAGCTTCTTATACAGTGAACTACTATTAGTACAAAGCCACTATATATTCTTGTGTTGTAACACGATTATATGATTAAAAAAATAATAAAAAATAAATTTCTAATTAATATTTAATCATCTTGGTTCAATAATAATTTAAGACATTTAAACATAGCTTTTATAAAAGCCTCTTAGTTTATTTTCTTATCTTAATAGCTAATAGATTAAAGATTGTTTAGTAATTTTACCTTCTAAGCTATAGAAATTCTTTTATTGCCTTAAAAAGGCCATAAATTGTTAAAAAGAAGGTAAAAGAAATAAATAATTAATATGATTGATACTAAAATTAAATTAAATTTAGTTTTGGGCTAAAAAAATCCTAAGATAGATTGGATTGATATGCGCGGATCAATCATTTGTAGAATAGTGTCAAAATCACATCTTTAGCCACTAAAATGATTGCCTAGGAGAAAATGTGGAGTTATTTGGAGATCGGCAATTAGGATTGAAAAGCTAGCTTTAAGTTCTTTTCAAAGGCATAAGACTTGTTTTTATAAGATTTGGGATGACTTTGCAATTATTATTCAAAGTTAGGATTTATATTGATAACTTTGGATTTATGCAATATAATTAGGGCTAACACTCTCAGCTAGTTTGTACAATTTTTATTACATCTATAGTTCAAAATTTGATAATGCTTGGTTAATTGGATTTTCTAAGTATGTATAAAAAAATTTATTAATTTAATTGTGCGGTTGGAAAATATTCAATTTTTAGTATAAGAAGATATTAAAAATTGGCAGTTTGGGATTGGATAGGATTTTTTTTGATGTTTGAAGATCTATTAGTCAAAACAAGGTGAAATTTGGCATGGTGTTAGAAGACTTAAAGACCAAGCTATACATCAATATTGAATTGAAGTTAATAATTGAAGAAGGAAAAATTGCTACTAGAACATTTGCATCAACTTTTGAGTTTGTAGCCAAGTAACATTATTGTAGTTTTTTGGATATTTTCTTACAATTTATAAGTTGGATTGAGTTGAATTTTTCTAAGAAAATAGAAGACTTATAGTGGCATTTATTTGCAAAATTTTGCACAAAGTGGATGGTCAAATTAGGAATTATATCTTGTTGAAGCTCATTGATTAGAATTAGGATTTTTAAAGAGAAATTTAAATTATCTAATTATAAACGTAATAAGGCAATTGAAGTTTGTATATAATTGAAGTTACTAAGAAGAGTATTTTTGAATACTTTTTATTGATTTTAAGTACTTTTTAATTAAAATTCGAATTGTATTCTTTTCATATAGGTAAAATCTATTAGAATTTTTTTGGATACTTGTAGAACATAACTTTTCTTTCTACAAACATGTGTTTAGTGCATTTTCAAACAAGACAATACATAATACAATAGTGTATAATAGAAATCTTGCATGATCTCATTATATTTAATTTAAAATTTCATTCACATTGATGACTCAATATAGCAATAGCAATATATTCCAAGAGAGTGACAAATTTAGAATATAATAATTATGTAAAGAAATTCTCTAGCCAGAGTATAAAGCTTATACATTATTCTCACCTTGTAGTACTTCCCTTCTAAGTTGAGGACTTGCTCAAAGAACTTGCTCAAATTTTGACAACTCTGATTCTATAAAGGATTGCAATCAAAGTACCTAACATTGATTTTTTTTTCAATGTGCTAATCCTTCTTTTCATACAATCAACCAATTTAACACTGAAGCAACATTGTGGAGTTATATATTATAAAGTCTATGTTTCAACTACTCTCTAATCCATCACAATTGATATATTCACATTCATATCTTTATAACTTTATCACTATAAAGACTTTAATTTTACTTGGTAAAGTATTACGGACATACATATTTATTCTAATAACTATTTAAATAGTATAAGTAGATAGAAGTAGATTAAAGTAGATAAATTTAATAATGTCTTATATGAAAGCTTCTTAGAAATTTTATAGATGCAACTGTGACTTTATACATGCTTATAATTGATTGATAGGTTAGAGATTGACTAATAACTTAGCCATATATTGTACTTATTGGTATCTTGTAGTACAAGCTAATCATAAGGTGCTTATATAAGAAGCTCATTTTATAAGTTAGACATGTGTTAGACGTCCTATAGAGCGTCAATACATATTTCTTAGTTAGATAGTATATATAGAGACAAGAATGAAATCTTTTTCACTCTTATCAATTTTATTCTTGCTTCTAGTCTAGTTTCAAGGATCTCTAGTTTTCTTGTCTTTTGGCAATATCCATTTTAGTTTCTTTTTGAATATATATTTTCTTATTTTTATTTTATAATCTTTCTTTGAAAAAAGTCTCACTTCTTTGTTTTCATTCATTAAATTTTTGTCCTTGAAAGATTAACAAGAATATACTTGTAATATTAGAGTTTTTTTTTTTTTTTTTTTTTTTTTTTTTTTTTCAATTAAGAATGAAATTGTGGATT